CGATAATCCCAAAAGTCGCATTAGTTCTGATTTCCCATTATCGCTATTATTTTCACCCCTACTTCCTCTCACAGTGCCTCTGGGGGAAGACGCAAACCCATCTCTCCCGGTCTCTCGTATGTCAGGTGACCGTTTTTGACCAATGGTTCCTGATCGAACATTCCTCCTCCTCCTCTTTCCGCATGCCACGTGACCGTTTCGACCAATGGTTCTTGATCAAGCATTCTCCTCCTTTTCCGCATATCACGTGACCGCTTTCGGCTAATGAGACTGTGGTGGGACGCCTCCCGTCTCAATTGGGCGTGGCTTACATCGTTCTTGTTCTAAAAAAAAACAAAATCTAATTTGGCCTTTTTCGCACGTACGAAAAATGATAATCTTGGCTTTTTCTCACCTGGGTTCTGTCAAAACAGCCTGCCGCTAATTAGATGTGACTTCAGGAAAGAATATTGGCGCTATCTGTGAGCCGAGACAATCGTTTTTTCACCTCTTTGTTTTTGGTCAGACCTGATAGTCAAAAATCTTAATTATCTGAATTGAAAATGTCTTCGCTTCATCATCGTGGGAGTCTGATCCTTAACAGGTCAGAACCTGTATACAGTTCCACCGGTCACCCCCCCAACCCAAAAGACACCTTTCCTCCGATTAAGATTTCGTTTCCATCGTTCTAAAAAAAATTTCCCTTTCTCCAAATTGATAATGAGTCTTTCTACGCAAAAGTCGGTCATGTGCTTCGACCGATATTTTTTATTATCAATACACTCTTATCAAGCATGGTCCCTTCCACTCTCTAAATGACTTTCCCTTCTAAATAACAAATCCCATTGTCTTTTCGAAAATCGGCCAAGATGTTGGCCTAATTACCCTTCTGATGCGTGTTTTTGTTAATGACCGCTTTTTGTATTTCTCGACCTCTCTCTTTCCCTTTTTCTCTTTCTTTCTCTTCTTTTTCTTTTAGGATCGTCTAAGTACAACTTAGTGAATTATTTTCAACTCAATTATTCTTCGTCTAAAAAAAAACTAACAACCTGTTTAATAAACCGAGTAAAAAAAAATTTAAATCATATTTCTATGAATATTTCTAATAATGCAAGGTGCCACACAAACAAAGAAAAGATATACAGTGTCAATAAATAGCTGAATTTTTTTAACCTTAAAATGAATGGAAAAAAAAGATTTACAATCTGAATATGCTCCAATTAGAGAAAATTGAGAAGCAAAAGATTTCAGTTACTGATCTATAAATAGTAAAAAACCTATCTCTGTGATTCCAGCATGGATTTTTTATTACATATATGCATAGAAATATAATGTATGTGTAGACATTTAGATATATTGGGTGTGCAATAATACAAATAAATACTTTTTACACAAGTTAAAAATGACAATACCTAAAAGTATCTGTAATCATTGCTGATGGTTTACTATTTATATTCCAGTAAGTCTATTTATGCACTAAAGTAGAAATATCATTGATAAATACTTGGACATGGGGGTTTCAAGGTAATGTACAAGTTACTATAGAAGTTTAAAATAAACTTTTTTTTTTTTTTTGGAGAAAAAATGTTTAATATCTGGGATTGAGTGCCTGTGGACACAAATTATCATGTTGCATTGATTTTAATCAGGTATATGCCTAAGTGATGATTAAACTGTGTTATTTAATGTTAAATTTTTTTTTTAATTCCAGATGTAAAATGTCAGAACAAAAGCCATAATGAAATAATAGTTCTAATGTTTGTGTTTCTCTATTTCCATCAAGAAATATTACAAGTAAAATTTAAAGAAAATATTTTAATCTTTAACAAAATATTGCAATAAATATGAATATGCTGGTTGTTATTTTAAGAAGTAAGGAGGTACAAATGAAAAGATTTTTCATTTCACTGAAATAGATCTTAAACACTTCTATCTTCCTTACTTTCTTTCATTTTCTCACTGAAACCAAGTGTCGTCTTTGATGTCTTTTGTCTTCTCATGTGATTAAAATGGAATAGTCTATTATTTATGCGGTATTAGGAGGAGATGTTAAACCCTTCTATCTTTCTTTATTTTCACTGAAACCAAGTAGCATCCCTGACAAGTCTTATGTCTTTCCATATGATCAAAATGGAATAGACCATTACTTATAAGGTATTAATGGGGCATAAAGATTGTGTGAATTAATGAAAGGAGGGACAAGCATAATTATTATAGTATTAGGAGGTGTCTAATGTCAACAATAACCAATTTTTGTAAAGTGAACCTTTACATGCTTAGGCGATTATGTATCTTTTGATACATGACTGACAAGGCAGATTTTTTTTTTTACAGCAGTAAGTTGCCATTTCTTTCTGCTGTAGACCAGTGGCCATCCAGGGCTATAGAACCTGGTCTGTCCTGCTATTTACCCATAGCTGGGGGGAGAAGAAAAGGATTCATAACTTTCCCAAGGGTATTATTAGCATGTAAGTGAATGTAATGGATTCAGCTGTAATTTGAACTCTGCTCTCAGATTGCTCACTCCAAGCCACTATTTGTTACTCCACTGTGCCTCATGGGTCATAGGTAGACAGCACATTCAGTTATTACTATTCTGTCTCTGTGCCTACCTCATTACAGTTTTGAAACCTTTCAAACAGTTATGAATTATCAGAAAAACAGAGCTATATATCACAACATTAAAAAAGATTTATTTACATAAAATCCCACTGAATTAAGTTTAATTTTAAGCTTTGTATTTTTACTGTTTTATATTAAGAGGAGCAATTGCAAATTGGAGATGCCAAAATCAAACAATTACAAAAATTTAAATATCTGGGAAGTGTTTTAAAAGAGGATGGAAAGTTCAAAACTGAAATCCAAGCCTTGAATACCTCTTAGGTCTTTAGCTCAACCTAGACCACAAGCTGAATTCACAGATATCCATCACTAAAGATGCTAGAGAAATAGTCGGTTCTCTGTGCCACTCCAATATGTACCTGACTCCTCCATTACATTCACTTATGTGCTAATACTTTTGGGAAAGGGTATTAGCACGTAAGTGAATGTAATGGATTTGATTGGAATTTGAATTTGGCTCTCCAATTCCTCAATCCGAGCCGCTGTCCATTACTCCACTGTGCCTCCCTCTCCTCCTGCTATACTCTACATTTATAAGAGCCAGATCAGGGTGAAAATGGAGTGCTACTGCTATATAAGGGCAGGAGCTGCCCAGTCTTTACTTTCTAGTCTTGATAGAGTCCAAAAGCATATCTGCATCCTTGTGGGTGATGTATTATTTTTCCACCCTAAAACCTCTTTCCCACAGTTGAAACATTGCAAGCTTCTAACTACTTTATCATTACTTCCATGGAAATTGTTCAGACAAATTACATTCCTTAGCACTACTAGTTTTAACATTCAAAGACCCACTATGCCAAGCACATTGTAGTGAACTATCCTCATTACCTTTGTATTCCATTAGTGACATGCAAGTTCCACTCAAGCTGCTTCCTTCCATGAACCATTGCTTTGTGGAACCAACTCCCAAAATGCTTCCCTGATCACTCCAATCTTAACCTGATCAAGTCTAGGATTAACTGTTATCTTCCTCATAAATTGTGCCTCTTATTCAGTAACCCTTTTCCTCAACTACATCTGCGTCCTGGGTAAGACGATAAACTACGTCCAACAGCAAGGCCTCTGATCAGGAGGTTTTGAGGAGTGTGGAACCACCTCTTAATTGCTGGTGTTCCCAGGTCCACTCTGACCAAGGGTGGTAGCACCTGTTAGGGTTCCAGCTATGGGCAAATAGTTAACCCCTAGACTGAGGTAAAAAGCATTATGAAAATGTAAAAATAGGTTTTAATATCAGAAATATTACATAAAAAAATTATTACCAGAGAGAAATTTTTGAAGGAAAAAAAAAAAGTCTTATTACCAGCAATATAATTTTGAAAAAAATATTACCAGCAATACATTTTTTAAAATAATATTACCAGCTATACATTTCTGAAGAAAAAAAAAAAAAAAATTACCAGAAATAGATTTTTGACAAAATGAAATATTACCAGCAATAAAGATTTTGTCAGCATTAAATGACCCACTGAGGTTGATATGCCATAAAACAAAATAACCAACCAACCTTCTTCCTTGAGTTGCTATTGGGCAAGGCAGACATTATTGTAAAAAATAATAAAAAAATAAATAAAAATAAAAAATACATTGCCATTGTTTTGAAATCATTCTTCATATATTAGTAATATTATTTGTTTGCAGATGTCTGGTCAGCTATCTAGCTTAACAAATCTTTTGTTTTGAAACTTTCAGAGAGGTTTCTGAACTTGTTTTGAGTATTATTCAAGCAAGAGACTTGCAGCCAAATCAATTCACTGGATCCTTAGATACTTATATCCGTGTGATGATGCAAGGAGATGGAACCAAATTTTCAACTAAAGTAAGTAAATGCTTCTGAAACATTAAACTAAGAAGATTTTATCTATTTGTTAAATTCACCTTTGCAATATTGAATACTTTTCATTATTCAAAACTTCATATTCCTTAGTAAAACTACTATAATTTTTTTCAAAGTAGCAGACTTTCTTTGCCTTCAGGTAATTCATATCAAATAATTCATAAATTGAGTTTCAGTTATTTCTAAATCTTAAATGCTGACACCAGGAAGAGCATCTGCCTGGAAAATCTGAACTATAGGAAAGATAAGCTTCAAAGTTCCAATATTCAATGCTGTAAATAAAGCAAATTATAAAAATTTTTCTCTCTTCCATAGATCAGTCAGTGACAAAAGTCAAAGTTGAGATGGTAAAATATTTTTTGATCAAAGAGATTTTATTCTAAATGTAAATAGAACATGGAGAAAAAAAAGGAGATGAAGGATTTCAACTCTCTATAATAAATCAGGTTTTGTTTTGCATCAACATTTTACATTCATAAATTTTTTTTTGTTAAATGTCAGGTTCAGCGAAATACATGTGATCCAATATATAAAGAACGTTTCCTCTTCAATATTGACTCAAAAGATCTTGAACAGAAGATACTACAATTCCAAGTCTTCTCTGTTGACAAATATGCTCGTCACAAAGTTATTGGTGAAAACGAGATCAGAATTGGAGATATTGATTTACGACTTCCAATCAAGATGTGGTTGAATCTACGAGATTTAGATGAGGTTTGTAAAAAAAACTTGATTTTGCTTTATTCATGAAATATGTATGTGTGGCTAGAAAAGAGATATGTATGTGTACATGCAAACAGTTGGATAGTTGAATTAAGATTACTCTCACTGCTACTGTGATGTCACCTCTTGCTATTTTTATTTAAGTTGATGGCCAGGATTGAGAAATTCTTGGTAGGATGAGAGCATGATTTGGAGAATTAAATTAAGTCATTGTCAGTGACAAACAGTGGGTCAAGTAATCAGAAGTGTTTTTGTTACTGTATCAATTGGATACAAATATATTCAAGAAAAACAAGTAGTTTTCAATTCATATTAAAACAGTTCTTTACAGCCTTTCCCATGGTAACACACATACACACACAGTAGCATCTGTAACAGCATAAGGAACTCTTTAATGTATTGAGTTACCTGCCCTTGTTTAACCCCTTGTATGTAGTAGTCCTTGACATGTAAATAAAAGAAGTAGACATCACAGTTATCCTGTCTCTCGTATCTTCATTAAATACCCGCAGTATTACGTGGTGGCAGTGGCGGTGAATTGCAAGCATTGAAAGAAACCAGACAGACCAGAAGTTAAAGAAGATAATTTCACACACTGAACAAATCAGTGAAAAGTTGACTTTATTTTCAAACGTAAAAGAAGCGCGAAACAGAAAAAAGAAACATGGCGTCTTCCAACATAACACTACCCGTTCTGGACTGGTCTAATGAAAACAAACACGAGGCGTATAGCGAATGGGTCGACTTTTTATGTCATCATATTTCATTATCAACAAAGTTGAAGAAAAACTGAAATATAACTATATTTTGCTTAGCACCGGACCAAAGGGTCGGGAACTATTGAAAAATGCTCAACTCACGAGCGAACAAAAAAGAAGCGTCTCAAAACATATTTACAGTATTCGAAACGCACATGATCCAAAAACCAAACAAATGGGTCGAGCGTTTAGAGTTTTCTTCAATGCGTCAGAACGAAGATACAGTAGATGACTACCTAGTCAGACTGAAAACTAAAGCCGACAGATGCGACTTCGGGAACAATAAAGACGAACGCATTCTGGAACAAATAATAAAAAAGGGCTTAGGAGCGCTGACGAAAGGAGAAATTTAATAGCCAAACCGGACCTAACCCTCAAATCAGCTATAGAAAGTATCAGGGCGTATGAGATAACAACAAAAGACAATTCTCGATACAAGGACGCCAACGAGGGAAGAAAAGAAGTATTCTATGAAATTTCTAAAAGAAATAAACCCTGTACGAGATGTGGGCAAATCCACAGGAAAAATAAAGAAGACTGCTATGCCTTCAACAAAACGTGCCGGAGATGCAGTGGTTTACATCACTTCGAGGACAAATATGCAAGGCCGGAGAAACCCGAAGGATAATTTCAGAGAAAAAATAAAACAGGATAACAGCTCACATAGAGCTAAGAAACAAATCCCCCAAAACGGATATAGAAAGCAAAGCTTTCGGAAAAAAAAATATAAGCACAACATCGAGACAAGAAAATGAATCCGACGAAGATCACTTATATTTATATACAATAAATACGGAGAACGACAAACGAGAGGAAATTTTCGCCAACATAGACTGCGTGGATACAGATAATAAACAACACAAAATAAGAATGAAGGTCGACACAGGGGCGAATGGCAATATTCTACCAGTCAGAATATACAAAAAAATGTATCCAGATAAAAACAATGGCGACGAAAAAAATTACAAACAAAAAAAGGGGACAAAGGGAGCTAACCCCTGAAAATCTGAAACAAGAGTTAACTACACTTTGGGCTGCAAATGGCATGAAAATAAATCACTACAGATCGATCATACTAAAAATAAGACACAAAGACTCTACAAGTATCAGAGCAAAATTTTTTGTGTGCGATAGCGACACCACAATATTGGGTCTAAGACCATGCATCCGACTTGGTCTTGTAACGGTTAACTGCAGCATAACCAAAGTGCACACACTGAATCAAGTGCAAAGCATAGACGATCTTGTAAAAGAGTACCCCGATAGATTTCAAGGCATAGGGAAGTTCCCAGGCCTTCAAAAGATACATCTAGTTGAAGATGCAACACCGGTAGTCCAACCGCCAAGAAACTTTCCAGTGCACATTAGAGCAGAACTAAAAAAAGCACTTGACGAAATGGAACACATAGGGGTTATAAAAAAAGTTATAGAGCCTACGGAGTGGGTCAATGCTATCGCATGTAGCAGGAAAAAAAATGGAGCTCTGCGAATTTGTCTGGACCCCAAACCATTAAATAAATGCATCAAAAGGACGCATCATAAAACACCAACATTGGAAGAAATATCACACAAATTAGCAGGTGCAAAATACTTTCAAAGTTGGACGCAAAACATGGATACTGGGCGATACAACTCGATGAAGAATCGAGCATACTCACATGTTTCAACACTCCATTTGGGAGATATAGATATCTGAGATGTCCTTTTGGCCTAAAAATGTCACAAGACATCTTCCAACAGAAAATGGACCAAATTTTGGAAACATGCAATGGAGCCATCGGTATATCCGATGACATCTGCGTATATGGCAGAACAATACAGGAGCATGACCGAAACCTGATAAAGACAATGGACACAGCCCGAAAATACGGCCTAGTCCTTAACAAAGAAAAGTGCTCCATCAAACAAAAACAAATCAAGTTTTACGGTCTCATCTGGGATGAGAATGGTTCTCACCCAGACCCTGACAAATGCGATAAAATAAAGTCGAAGCCAGCACCCACCAACAGAGAAGAACTCCAACAACTTCTAGGTATGATCCAATACCTAAGTCCCTTCATACCAGATCTCAGCTCCAAAACAGCTCCACTGAGGTCACTACTCAAAAAAGGATGCAGAATTTCAGTGGAACGAGACACATGGCAAAAACTTTCCAAATATTGAAAGATCACATCCATGAAAAACTTTGTTTGGCATATTTTGATCCCAATTCAGAGACAGTCATTCAAGTCGATTCAAGCATGCTAGGGCTAGGTGCAACACTCATCAATAACAACAAAGTTGTCGCCTTTGCAAAAAAAAAGACTGACCGACACAGAATCGCGATATGCCAACATAGAAAGAGAGTTACTCGCAGTAGTATTCAGGTGTGAGAGATTTCACATACATTTATGGGAAAAAGTACTGGTCGAAACAGACCACAAACCCCTAGAAAACATTCAAAACAAGAATATATCACAAGCACCTCCACGGCTACAAAGAATGTTACTAAGATTACAGCCATATGACGCACAAATTACATACAAACCTGGAAAAGAAATGTGCATTCCAGACTATTTATCAAGGAACCAACCGACTTCAGGCAAAGAGATCCAACTCGACCTAACAATACACACCGTCAATATAACAGCTCAAAAACAAATGGAACTGCAAAATGCAACTGATGAAGATGAAGAGCTGAGAATACTGAAACAGGTGATATTAAATGGATGGCCAGACGATGTAAAAAATACACCAAAAATAATCAGACGCTACTGGTCACTAAAAAAAGAATGCCTATCAGTACAGGACGGTATTGTCACAAAGGGACAGTCCATAGTCATACCCAAAAGTATGCAACACACAGTACTACGGAGAATCCATGATGCACACCAAGGTATCGAAAAATGCCAACTGAGAGCAAAAAACAGTGTGTTCTGGAAAGGAATACACAAAGACATAGAAGCGTTAGTAAGGAAATGCGAGATCTGCAGAGAGCATCAGAGGAAAAATTCAAAAGAAACAATGATTATAAAGGAACATGCAACGCGACCATTTCAGAATGTCGCAGCAGACATCTTTGAATTCAAGGGTCAACAATTCCTACTGATAGCTGACCAGTATAGCAAAATGCCATTTGTGAAGACACTGAAAATATAACTAGCACTAGTTGCATTGAATATTTCAAAGCAGTCTTTGCTGTCCATGGCATTCGGAAAGGCTATACACGGACAATGCCAGGTACTTCGTATCCAACGAATTCCTCAATTTTGCCACAGAATGGGAGTTCACTCATATCACATCGAGCCCCAGGTACCCACAATCAAACGGGTTTATAGAACGCATGGTCCAAACCGTAAAGAAAACATTTACAAAAGCCAAACAATCAAAATGGATTGTCAAATGGCCCTTCTATGTCTCAGAGCAACCCCACTAGACAGCCATCTACCATCCCCGGCAGAAATCCTATACAATAGGAAGATAAGGACAAGACTTCCAACCTTGTTAAACACAGACACCCCAAAAGATCACGAGATCAGAGAAAGATTGTGCGCCAAAAAAAAAAAGCAGCAACAATATTACAACAAAAATGCAAAGGATCTTCCAGAATTAATTGTTGGGAGTAAAAGTGTCTGTGTTACAGGAAAATGACACCTGTCAACCGGCGACAGTGATTGATAAAAGCGCAGAACCACGCAGCTACATTGTCAGAATGCATGGCGATGGAAGATTACTGAGGCGTAACAGACGACATCTGCAAGAATTATACAACCCTCAGAGACAAACCAGCATCAACACACCCATTCAAGAGACGAGTTGGGACGATATAACACCACCGTCCCAACAACATGCTGACCCACTAGAAGTCAGTACTCCATCCAATAATAATGGATACACGGCAACAGACAACCCAGGGCAACCAGTCGAGTCGAACCAACAGCCAGAATTACTGACCAAAAAGACCGAGCCCCTCAAAAAAAGATTATTCAAATAAATGAATATATATATAAAAAAAAAAAAAAGACACAACCCTTTTTCTTAACAAAATAACACAAGAACTCTTTACTTTGTTATTATTAACCCCAAAGTCCTTGACATGTAAATAAAAAATGACATATATATATCTTCATTAAATAAAAAAAAAAAATGCATATTAATACATAAATTTTTTTATTTAATAAAGGGAAAATTGTTAACAAGGAAAATGATTGAGATATTATAGTTTATAGATAATTTTAATATTGTAAATATAATTATTTTTATCTGTTGCAGAGACATGCAGAATATGGTGATATTATGTTCTCCTTAAGTTACCTTCCAACAGCTGAACGTCTTACAATTGTCGTAGTGAAAGCACGAAACTTAAAGTGGGCTGATAACAAGGATTCAGGAGGTCAGTTGCCAGATTTTAATATTTTTACTTATAACTTTTAGTGTTTTTAACTTTTTGGTATAATTATTTTTATTATAAAAATTAAATGAAGAGATTTTTAGAAAACGGACTGGAAGAATATGAGTTATGCAGATGTGGTGGAATCTTCTATTCAGTTGTAGGAAAAAGATTGTATCTTTCCCAGAGAAGATATTAATTATATCTGTTCCATAGAAGATTCCAAAATAAATTCCACTAAAAAATTTAATTTGCAAAAATTCTGAGTGAATGGGGTTTCGTGGAAGGAAGAAAACGGTGATGTTTTCACTTGTCTTCCATGTGAAACTCTGATCGCTCCATTACTTCACTTGAGTACATGTTATAAGATTTTTTATTTATAAAAATAAAATAATTTGCTTCCTAATTTTTTTCCACGGTGAAAATTTAATTAAATATCCATTATTTTCGAAGATATTTTTATTATTTGAGACAAAAAAAAGAAAAATGTATTAGAGTTTTTCTTTATAAATATTAAATAAAAATTTCATCAAGTATTTTTATTATGGGCTACTATACTATAAATGGAAGCAATTCAGTCTAGAGCTATCAACACATTTGTCTTGCTGTCAGTCAGCTGGTACTACAAATATCACCTCACACATCCAAATTGACCTTTGACCTATACTGATTACTGCATGCCACCCATGTAAAAAAAAAAAAAAAAAATTTTTTAATGCTTTTTTAAATTAATATTTAGGGTTTTTTGGCATAGTTAAACTTAGTAAAGATTGTAAATATATATTTTACATAAAATTGTGTTGATGTTATAATTTTTATTTTTATTGGTCTCCAATATTGTGTTTTCTGTCAACTAGATACTGGCCATTGTTGAATTTTGTTGATTAAAAGAAAATTTTTTTAGTTTACGGCTGTTTAATTCAACTTGAATTAACAATTTTTAGGTTTTTTTCAAGATGCAGATTAAGGCTCCAATGTTTGTTGCGAAAGTCAGAAAAATCATAACTAACTTTAATATTTTTCAACAAGACATTTTGGTTGTTGATACCTACATTTTTGGCAATATTTTCATGATGGCAGCTAACTCAATCCAATCACAAGACGAAAAGGATAAGTTATGCCCCTTACTTACATTTCATTAGGATCTCCAAAATAATAATTCAACAAGGGAGATAAACAAATGATTTCCAGTTAAGATATTGCATTACCTTTATCACGAAAAATAAAATATCTACCTACCTTGCATAATACGACCCCTAATCCTTTAGGTACTGCAATGAACTTTATAAAAAAACTCATTTAAAAAATTTAAGTGTCTTCCTTGTTTGTTTTATTTGAAAAATAAAAGAAAAATATATTTCTGTATGTAAAGATTTTAGGCATTTTTAAAACAATGGCATGTTCATTTGTTGACTCTCAAATTGCAATTTTAGATGAAAAAGGTAAACAATTTAAAAAATCTCTTAAAAATTCAATATTTGTGAGATGTGTTTCAAAGTCAATTAGAAAATTTAAGAATTAACTGGATTTTGCAAATGGAATGCTTAATTTTGGCTTAAAAGTAAAACACATTTATGCACAGTAGCCTATAGTTAGTATCATACGTCAGCAACAGTAATTTTATCCAGTAATTTTTGTCTTAAAAAGTAAGCAATTTTTTTTAATTAAATATGGAACACTAGCAGTGTAATAATCAAGAAATTGGTATCTATGTTTAAAAATAAATTATTTATACCTTATATAACCAACAGTTAAGAATATAGTTGTTTTATAAATTCTATACATTTTATGAAACTTAGTAGAAATAATAATTATATTTTTTTATTCTACATTAAAAGCATAAAAAAGAAATGAATTAAAAACTAGTGAAATGGCACTTTTTCATTGCTTTTATTTGTTGATTATTTTCTTATCTGACATCTTAAAAATTTAATTGCACCTAAGGAGGTCTTTTTTTCATTATTTTGAATATAAGAGTTATTGAATTATCAGATATCAAATTACTCTTCCAATAGGGAAAAGTAGTTAGTAAAAGGCAGTAATTCAGAATTACTTTTTTCATACAAAAAATAATCTAACTTGCTACAATAAAAAAAAAAAAAAAAAATTATTTTAAAAAAGATTCACACTCGAAAATAGCATTAAACTTTACATTTTTTGATTCTTCAAACATCTTTATTTAATAATAAAAAAATACTCTTACCAACATCAATGGAATGAAATTTAAAATCCTACTGAAAAATTACAAGTAATTAAAAAAAAAAAAATATTAAGTGTAGATTTTTTTTTCCAAAAATTGAAAACACTTTCTGATAAATCAATCAGATATATCAGATTTCTGCTCAATAAGAATAATAATAGTTTTTAGCATTAGGTATAATTGTTAATTAGCTAATTATAGGATATCACTAACAATTCCTTTGTAAAAAGGTTTTCTCAATAATTGAAGGTTATTGTAATTTAGGACTAACATAATTACTTCGTCAAAGAAAAGATGCATGGTTACTAGGCATTTGAGATAGCTTTGGTATAACACTTTACTATGTTTTGGACTAGTACTGTAAAGTCACAATTCTACAAGGGAATCAAGCACACATGTAAGAATTGTAGTAGTTCTTTAGAAAAAGCAAATAACTAATTAGTTTTGTGTTATGCTGATGTACTAGCAATATGCTATAAGAAATAAGTCATAAAAAGATATTTGAGAAAAACAAGGAAAGTGGATAGCAAGCAAGAAAATAAGTAAAGTGGGTATTGTAATCTAAACAAAAAAGACAGTATTAAGAACAGTGGCTAAAAATATGAAACAGCCAAACTATGACCTTTTATGTAAACATTAAAAAGTGAAACATCTAAGTTAGGCAAAAAAAATTTTTTAGTGGTGAATGTAGAACTACATTGGATGGACCTTATAGCTGTGCTAAATGTTGGGTCCTTTATGAAAATGTCAACAAATATAATAATTGGTGTCATAGTGTTTTGGGATAGTATTATAAGATGTAAAAATTTATAGACCCCTTCAAAGTTGTCGATGGTATCAAGATAAATTATTTGAAGTTCTTGGAACATAAGTTTTCTTGGGTAGTACAAGTGTGATGCTATGGATCGTAACTCAATTTGTTAGTACACCCATGTCATCAAGTGAACTGTAAATGATTTCATTTGGGCCTGAAGTGACAAAGTTTTTTTGACAACCACCTGTATACTTCTTTTATTTATTTTATTTTGAAATTGTTTCACCCCCAAGGAAGGTGAAAATGCCACTAGGATTTGTGGTAGGAGTGAAAGAGTATGAGGAAACTTTAGTGAGAAAAAGAGCAATAAAGGAACATGATTTAGGAAGACAGAAGATGGCAATTAACATTGTATTTAAATTTTTGAAGATTGTAGGTGGCAAGGAAGCAAAAAATTTGAAGGGAATTCCATAGGCAAGAAAAAACTACTAGAATAGAACTGGTGGTTGCATCTAGCTAGTTTAACCGTATAACAGTGAGAACCTATTGCCAATCTAGTAGCGTAGAAAATTTTAGCATTTTTTTTTGCATTGAAAAATACATTGATTTGGAAATTCTTGAAAAAAAAAACTCAGATTTAATGAAAACTTCAGGACTTATTCACAAATGAATTAAATTAGTTTAGAAATATTTATTTATTTATTTTTTTTTTTTTTTACAAAATCTTAAATTTTTTGTTTTTTTAATATCAGGTAACCCCCACAACTCACATATTTAATTTTATGAAATTGAGAAATTAATTTGTCTCACTTAATATTTATATTAGTTATACACAACTCTTCCTAGAATTTAAATCATCAAATTTTTTGTAAGATAGATTATGATCACTATTGTCTTAAGGAAATTCTTTTTTTTTTTTTTTTGATGAATAACAAATTTTTACAAGAATTTTCATTTTTTTAAATATTTAATTAGAATAATTTATAAAGTTTTAAATCTTTTAAATTTCTGTATTAATTTGTATGGGTTAGGTGATATTGTTATTAAGCAAAAACTATATTTACTAATCATAAAATGAAAAAGCTTACTACAATTCAGTGACCCACTCCCAAATACTTTGAATTTTTTTTTGTGTATAAATATACCAATTTTTGTAAATACAGATGTCTATATGTGACATTATCAGAAAATAAGTGATAATTACATTAAATTTAAAGCCAAAGTACCTAAAATTCAATAAAACATTAGATTACAGAGAATATTTTCCTAAATTTTAAAGATTACTGGGTAGTTAAAAATTATAAAAAAGGCACTCGTGTTATATTCCTCAAGTAATTTTTACAGATATGTCCACCATAGGAAAAAAAATTCAACTTCTGCCTGTTAGTCAAGCTGTCAACACCGTAAATAAACATATACCTCTTTGTTAAAAATGTATTTCTGCAATATTTTGAGCTAAAAGTATATAATATTTGTTACAAATCAGATTAATTAGACTTTAAATCAGCTAATATTCCTCAAATAAAGTTTCAGAAATGTATATTTTATTTTTGAAAGATTTTTTTAATAAAGAGAATTACATAGTGCCGAAAGATGGCTAAAAATGGTGTTAAAATAAGCAATTTTTAGTGATTTAAAAAAAAAAAAAAAAATGCTTCCAGTCAATTTAAATTAGTAAAAGAAAATGGTGTGTGTGTGTGTTCATATGCAAACAATTAAGTAGGCTTACAAAAACTTAGATTTCTACTATGGACCATTTATTCTCTTTGTAGAAACTGTATTGAAAGTTCTCAATGCCTGTTGATTATGTCCATTTTCTTTTTGGTCCAGAAGTTAGAGTAAGGATAAGCATCATTATAGTGGTCCAGCTTTGCGCTGAGTTGGGACAATCAAAGAAAAGGTTGGTTTACTTCATAGGTGGAGATTTTGCAAGACACATGTGAATGCCATGTGCTGGAAAGTGGAAAGAGAGTTCAGTTGTCAGTGAACCGGGGAAAGGAATGTGCTCCAGTGGGAACATCTTTTATTCATGCCTGCTACATTTTGGAGCAAGAGAGAGAAAGAGGAAGGAAAATGTTTGTTTTTTTTTTTTTTTTTAATAGACATAAACAGTGCAGCCTAATAGGTGTTTGACAAGGTCAAGTGGAATAATAAAATTCCCAGTTCCTTTATTACAAGCATCATGCAAAAATGTATTTTTTTTATTATTATTCATTATTCCTATTTTATTTATTGATTTTATTTAATTTTCTCACAAACTTGTACTGAGCAATTTTCAATAAGATGATAAAAGAATGCATTCATTATTATATTTCTTAAATATTAAATATAAACAAAAAATAATAATGCTCATTTATTTTTCAGATCCATTTGTAAAGGTCTACTTGCTACAGAATGGCAAGAAAGTGAACAAAAAACGCACCACAGTGAAACGAAGGGAAAGGAACCCAATTTTCAATGAAGCAATGATATTCTCTGTTCCAGCATCTGCCCTCTCAGTAAGATGTTGACATTACATTACACTTGATTTTTCTGCTATCTTTATTAGATTAATACTTCTGACCATTGAGCGATCGGTATTGTAATCAAGTAGTGTATAATTCAGAAAAAAAAAAAATTAAATTGCAATTTTTAAAGTTTGAAAGTGCTTGAAAACCATCAAAAGTTGTAAATTTAAATTATTACAAATTCATTTTCAAAATTCAGGCTTAAAGAAGAGTAAAGTTCAGCAGAGACACAGTATGATCTAAAAAGAAGGTTAAAGAAACTGGTCTAAAAAAAAAAAAAATCAATTTTAATACCTCATTTCAGAAATTCAGAAGGATGGATTGAACAAAGTTTTTTTTAATGCAACAGACACCTTTAGAAGGCAGGAAAGTCTTGTGACTGAAATGTAACAATGTAGCGAAAGAGATAATCACTTACCTTAAAAAAAAGGTTGTTTTGTGTGTGATCTACCAAAGAAAAGTAGAAGAAAGTAGTTAGCAAAAATCTACTACTTTAAGTATCAGAATCTATGGTAATGTTCTTTCCTCCCCTGAATGGTGTGACCAATCAGAAAAATTTCTTGGTGGATAAAAGCTGTTGTCTTTCGCTTACGGAAAAGATTTTTTGAGCTTGGCAGACAAACATGCATTTTTTTGCTGGTGAGAAGTGAAAGTTGGATTTGTGACCCCCATTTTGTCATTTCTAAGTTGGACTGTTACGATGGACTATCGTTTGAACTGTGATTTGGCTACAAGTATTGTGGCCGCGAGACAGAAGAAACCTATTGCAGGCGTTTATTGCTATTACAAGTTTAATCCATTTGAGAAAGTTTTCAACAGAATGCAATCATCACTGATCCAATTGTACATATCAATCAACTAAATCCATGTTTTTCTCCCATTACATTGTATAACCTATTTTTACTAAATTACTGCCTCTGTCCCATAGTAATTCTTATATTTACATATTTCACTTTTGATTATTGGTAACACTTATTGAAAGGTTATGTTCTCATGTCCTAGCAACAATTGCAGTACATTTTTAAAATAACATCAGATGTCTTAAAAGAAACAGATCAAAGGTTAGCAAGAAATTAAGTTTTCAATATTACACCTGTTGTGTTTATATATTTTATCAGATAATATCAATCCTGGATGAAAATTTAATACTTAACGTTGAACATGACATTGTTTAACAGAAATAATTCCTATAAAATTAGGCATATGAATAAAGAAAAACTTCAATATGAAAATCAGATACCAAAGAGTATTAAATACAGCCCTTTAACTGCAAATTTAAATATTTCACAAAATTAATGATTCTAAATATTGAATTTCATTTATTTTATTTTTATTGATAAAGGTAACAACTATTTGGGGATAAATTTCATATGCTATATGTAATAACAATTATGGGACAGACACAGTAAAATTTATTGATTACTTCTATGTTTACTTATATTTATTTCTCATATTGCAGACTGTCCAACTTCGTATCACAGTTGCTGAACTAATGGATAACAATCGTACACCCTCACTTGGGCATGTGATTGTAGGCAATAACACATCAGGTACTGAACTTTCACACTGGAACCAAATGATGACCTCTCTGCGAAAACCTGTTGCAATGTGGCATAATCTTCGAAAATAACTTTTTGTTGCCCCAATTGAAAACTTGGGATTTTGAAAAGATCTTTTATTTTCTTTTTCTTACTTGTGCCTGTAATTTTTTTTTTCACCCTCCTGTATTTTTGACAGCAAAGTACAATAACCTAGAATTCTGATTGAAATTTCAAGTTGGACAAAAGAACAAAAGATAAAATGTCATAAGATTAAACTAGACTGCCATTTCTGTCACCTCTTGAGATGATCTGAACAATTTTTAAGAATATTATCAATCTGGAGTTGCAAACTAGGCCTGAGCTGTGCTAAATAACATTATCTTTAATTAAACAGCATTAAATCAAGCCTTTTTTCTTTTTGTTTTTTAGTTATATTTTAATAATATTGTTTTAAATAGAATATTTAAAGCTGTTCTAGGTTAGTGGTAACTTTAAAATTCAATTTTGCTCTTTACAGAAATTTAGTTATGTGACCCTGAGAGGGAAAATGTTTTGAAAAGTTTTGTAATACAAATATCTACATAAGAAAGCAAATGTAAAAGAAAATTAATAAAATTAAACCATGAATGAAAAAAAAAAAAAATTCAATGAAAAAGTACAAAAAACTACAGTATTACAATTGACATGTGAATATCAACATGACCAAAGCTTAATTTGTGGATAATTCTGGATTTGAAATTGTATTGTTACAACACCCACTTTAAATAATAATACAACTAATTTTGATATTATTAATTATATAGTCTTTTTATCATTATTTAGAAGTACTATTTTTTTCTCTCTCTTCAGTTGTTATCCATAGCTTGGAAAACTTGCGTTGGATCATATGGAAAATATTCTCACACCTTTACATTAGTTGAGTGAAAAAAATATATTTTGCACAAAACCAACTAAATTGTCTCTTCCAGCCACTCCTTTAATCCTGCATATATAACCAGGATGTAGAATGCTCTCCTCACTCCTAGCAGGAGCTATTTAAATATGCAGTCAATTAAGACTGCAGAGAGCCCTGAAATGGCACACAGAGAGAGCCAAATGAACACTCCTCGCTGCTTTAAGTGGCTCTTCTCTGTAACCACTTGAATATTTTCCCATTACTATATTGTATTTTTTTAAAATCACCAATAACAGACAGTTGAATACTTTTCCTTTCCCCACCCCCTTGAAGGAATTGAATATTCTTTTTAATTTCCAAACATGTCTAATTCTTTTTTGTTTTGCACATCTATGAATTTCCAGTTAATATTCTCTTCCAATTTTTACATTTAACCTATTAAACTACACATCTCTTCCCAATTCTACAAAATAAAAAGCCATACTTCTGCAATGTCCAAATTGGACTATACTCTTTTTTTGTATTCATTAAAAGCAAACTCAATATTATTATCCTCCTCCAAACATTCAAATGAAATCAACAGAAATTTTTCCTCAGTGACTTCAAATAATAGTCAGAAGTCATTGTCCTTAATCTTAAATAGCTCGGAGAATAATTTTCTTATCCCTAAAATTCAGTCCTTTAATATTATTATGCTGGCAACGTATGTTGCATCGTTCTATCACATATTTGTTGCAAATTAAACAATTTCAACTATTCTTAATTAAATTTGTACTTTCTTCCATAACTTGGATACTGTGAAATGTGAACATAGTATGTGACTCAAAATTCAGTCATAACACAGTAATCTAATCTGTTGTTAAAAAATATCAAAATAGTCAATAAAAATCATTCATTTAAAAATGGGATGACAATTTCAAATATTGTTTGGACTCTCTTCTTGTTATCACTCTTCAGCTGACCCATTCTCTGGCCTTTCTCAGATGTATAACCTATATGAAAAGAAGGTGGTCTTTTTTTGTCACTAAAAGTATTGCTCACCGATATTGAAATAAGAAATGGTTGCAAAGTGTATTGATCTGACCAACCTATTATAAATGTGCGTAACACAATTCAATATTTTATATGTGAGCTTCCTTTCCATTCCTAAAAAAAAAGAAAAAAAAAAAAGATCACACACAATATTGGTTTATATATCTAAAAAGTTAATTTTAATTTTCTTGCCCTCTAATGATGCTCCCTATCAATTGTTTAATCTAGGTGTAAGTGACCCTGATCTGTCATTTCACGCTGACATGGGTAGAACTAATTATTTTTCTTGTTTGGCTACCATTTTCTGACTATGAAAACAAAAAGTGACGACCTCTCTTTTTTTCATACAAATTGTATAACTGAAAAATGGATTAGTCAAAATATTCTAATAAAAACAGCAAAAAGAATTTAGCCAGTAGTAAAAACAATTTTTGGAATGACAATGACTCTTCTCAAAATTACAGAAGGGATGACAGTTTTTTTTTTAATGCATTGTTGAAATATCAATTATGCCAAAAATATTTTACAGATATACAAAAAAATCTGTTTCAAGCACAGCAAAAAATTTATATCAGGTATGTTAAAATGAAAAAACTATGCAAAAATTATAATAATGTTAAAAACAACATACTCCAATTTGTTCTTACTTCACTGTGATTTAGCAATTATTGAAGAACATGTAACCAGAATATTTGTCAGATATCAAACACGCACACACTAAATGTGCCTGTACAAATATCCTTCCTTGAATACATTAATGCAAAAAAGAAATCCTACTGGATAATTAAGCCCCTCCATCAAATATACTCTCTGAATAATATCTCCAAAATAGTTATTTTTCTTCCACGTTAGTTCAGTTAATCCAAATAAATTAATCTGATTTCTTAAACAGGTTCATGTGAATATTTTCAATAAATATTACTGATTGTCCAAATAGGCCCAGCTGAATACTTCTCCATCTGATAGATACATCTGAATAACTGCCTGACCAGAGTCTGTTGGATGATTGCCTCCCTTTATTAAGAGCAATTTTGCATATCATCCTTATGATACAGAAAAGCCCAACTTTTGACTGGTAAATAGAAGCTATTTAAAAAACATATTTTAATTTATTTATTTTTTGCAAATAAATTTATTGACTCTCCTATATTTGCCAGAGAAGTTTTTAAAAGTATTAAGAGAAAACTAAATTTAAAAAAAAAAAAAAAAAATCATGCGTGTGTGTATAAAATTATTGTTGGCATTTGTGACTTGTGGAAAATTAAACAAATATTTTATTCAATATATAGAAACTTTTTGTTCAGTATAAATGGTTGTGATGTAAGAATTTTTTTGTATATTGTTAATGTTTTAGGTGTTTGTATTTAGAATGAGATTAATCAGGAACTTGTCTTCCTTTACAGTGAATTATCATATTTTTCAGCTCATAAAATATGCTTTATTTTACTTCTTGACAAATCATCCCTCCAGCTACCTTTTTGTCTTGTCAATTATTAGTGAATGATAGAGCACAAAATGTAAAAATTGGACTACTTAATTTTTAGATAATATAACAGCACTTTAAATTGAAGTGGGGTACATTTTGACACAATAACTGAGTATTTGCAAAATGCTTTTATTCCTTCATTATCAGGATAAACAGTTTAATTTAATATATATTTTTACATATACTTCTTGTAAAATTACTAAACAGTTCAGATTCAAGAAAATATAACAAAACCTAATACATGAGTATATTGTAAGTTTATGCATCATTATGTTAATTTACAGTAAGCTTAATCTGTTTAAATCAATCATGCTAATCTGATAGATGATTCTGTAAAAAAATGAATATATAACTTGAAAATAGTAATGCATCAAGTGGAAAATCTGTTTTCCAAGTAATATGCAACTAAAACTTATTTATTTACAATTGAAATTGAATTAAAAGTGATCATTCTAGAGAAGCTTAAAAATAAACAGCGAATTGGAATTTACCTATGCCCACAAGCATGATGGTATGTTAGACACAAGGTCACAGTTAATGTATGAAAAGCAGTTATCATTTACTAAGCTTAAGAGAAAGTTACAAGTATGAGGCATCCAGGAAGCATCAAACTCACTATTTAGTTGTAATGTGAAACTAAACTAGTTTGCTAATCTTTGCTCCTTGCCAAAGTGTCCATGTATGAAAAGCTGTTAATGGTCTGTGAATTAAATATGATGTTGTATTTAGGTGAATACACTTTGTATTTTTATATGTTATATGATTTTCAGAATCAAGCAATCTATGAATAAATGTTTTTTTTTTTTTAAATTTTGTTTTTAGCAAAAGGATTAACTCCAAACAAATGGATTCTGTTAGGGAATTATATCTAAGATAAAATGGTTATATGACAAAGTCTGTTACAATTTAAAAAAGAGAAAAAATGCAGAATATTTGCATTGAAATACAGTATATGTTGAAATATGCATGTAATTGGTTTTATGTCTTATAATGATTGAAAATCTAAAATACGTTCTCTTATGGAAAATAAACAAAACACATACATTCATATATGTATATGATCAGTATCACTTGCAATAATTTTATAAGGAAATTTACTTTTAAGTAAAACAAATTATTTTCAATTATTAAAATATTTTTGTGTCTGCAAATTTGCAAATACTTCAAACAAATGAGTGAACAAATAAAATTAAACAACTTGGATAATCAGAAAACATCCAAATATCATTTTTTTTTAATGAGGCAATGTTCTAACATAAAAATAAAGATGCCTGAAGAAGAAATGTGAATGTGTGTGCAATTTCTGTTGCTTTCTTTAGCTTTTAAGTAGAATCTTTAATCTGGATTATTGTCTGCTAATACAAAGATTTCATGAGTTTCTCTCTCAAAGCAATTAAGAGATATTTCTCTGTAATATACGGATACCAGTAGAATGCCTTTGAAGATGGCATTACTAATCAACTACATATATACTCATCAATGTAAGCATGATAATGTACACACCAGCAGTGAAAGCTGATATCTATGTGGTAGTTTTTTTAAACTAGTTATGGATAATTTCAATCACAAAATTAGCACGAAATCTTGAGGCAAATT